TGGTTAACCGGAGCTTGGTGAAAGTTGCCCTAAGTCCCAGTCTACAATAGAGATTTAAGCCTTAGTCCCAGTCTACAATAGATGATTTAAGCCCTAAGCTTTAAGAAATTGGCCAATCACGGTCAAGTATGAGAAGAATGCGCGACTGTGATTAGTCAATTTCTTAAGGCTTAGGGCTTAAATTTCTATTGTAGACTGGGACCTAAGCCTTAAGAAATTGACTAATGACAGTCGCGCATTCTACTCATACTTGACCGTGATTGGCCAATTTCTTAAAGCTTAGGGCTTAAATCTCTATTGTAGACTGGGACTAAAGCCTCCGCTACAATGATTCTCGGTTCTGTCTACAATGGTCGTAGTCGTAGTCGCTCGATAAGAATTGACCAATCGCAGTCGATTATTCTTACGACTACGACCATTGTAGACAGAACCGAGAATCATTGTAGCGGAGGCTTTTAAAGCGTTCCGTGTAGCAGCACTCATAGAAGTCGTAAAGTCGTAGTCGTAAGAATAGTCGACTGTGATTGGTCAATTCTTATGTATCTGACGAAATTGACCAATCGCAGTCGATTATTCTCACGACTACGACTCCGTGACTCGCATTGTAGACCCCGCAGTAGAGCAGAGCTGGGTCTAGCGTGGTGCTGGCAAGGTCTGTTGGGTGCGTCGAGGGTGTCGTTAAAATAGCTCTCGCGAGAGTAACGGTACGTATGTCGGGTAGTAATCACGCGGTTTAGAAGCTGAGCGATCCTCGAGGCTCGCCAGCGAGAGGCAGAGGTGCTGATTCCCGTTCTGTTTACAGCGAAATAATACGGCGAGATGGCTGCCCGTTCGGTCCTGAGGTACCTGAGACCCAAGCCCGTGATATTCCAGACTCATCGATGCGCCTCTCTATCTGGTTTCGATATCCAGCACAAGACTCCTACCATCAAGACGGTGATGCCCATACCGAAGGCCCATTACGGAGGCAGGCACACCGTCACCATGCTGCCCGGAGCTGGCATTGGACCCGAGCTGATGGGTTATGTAAAGGAAGTGCGTAGAATAGACGTTGTCCTTGAATTTATGGCTTTTAAGTCCCGGTCATCATCAACGTCGTTTAACTTTGATCTTGGTTTAATTAATTCTTTATCTCTTTCTACGGGGACAGTTAGAAGAGGAAGGATGAATTAAAGTTATTAAACTGAAGCCAGCGGCATACACTGTTTTCTTCCTGTCTGGTTGGCTTGCGTGCACCTTTGCTGGCTAGTGAGAGCCAATCGGGATTCCACGTGGTAGATTAGATTAGTTAAGATTACATCCTTGGCTCTCGCCAGCCAGCAAAGGTACACGTAAACAAATTATGGTACAACTAGTAGGTCTTCTCTCTGCCGTGTTATTTGGCTTTGATGAGTATACACATATGGATCCTACCTGGGTGTACGGCAGAATACCACGTGGTCGGGACCGCAAAGATCGAAGAGACCGACAGTTATACTATGGTAGTTCTACGAGCAAACCAGCAAGCAAAAAAGCATCATGTGTCTCTGGCTTTAAACAAAGTTGGTGAAAACCGGGATTATATTCCTTTTTACCACTACAGATTAGTTTTAATCTTTCGGCTTAAGTTACTTATCTCTTTCTAATTTTTAAAACTAGAAAAAGATATAAAGTGAATGGAACCGAGATTAAAGTTAATCTACATTGGCAGAAACGAGCAATAGCGACGCAAGAATTTGATGAAAAGAGTTGACGTCTACCCGAGGCTGGTGTCAGAACAAATTTTATGATTCACTTGCTTTAGGTTTTTAAATACGCTGGCGTACCGGTGGACTTCGAGGACGTCGAAATCGACCCGAACGCGAACGACAACGTCGATTTGGATTTTGCGATCACGTCGATACGCAGGAACGGAGTGGCCCTGAAGGGAAACATAGAGACGCGCAGCACGGAGGCCGACGTCTTCTCCCGAAACGTCGCTCTGCGAAACGAGCTCGACCTCTACGTAAACGTTTTGCACTGTGTCTCTTATCAGGGCGTGAACTCTCGCCAGAAGAACATCGACATCGTTATAGTGAGGCAGAATACCGAGGGCGAGTACTCCATGTTGGAGCACGAGAGCGTTAGCGGCGTGATCGAGAGCATGAAGGTCATTACGAAATCCAATTCGGAGCGCGTTGCTCGCTACGCGTTCGAGTACGCCAAGAGGAACGGCCGCAAGAAGGTGACGACGGTCCACAAGGCGAACATCATGAAGCTGTCGGACGGACTCTTCCTGGAGATCTCGCGGCGGGTCGCCAAAGATTATCCGGATATTATCCACAATGACATGATTATCGACAACTGCTGTATGCAGCTCGTATCGAATCCACACCAGTTCGACGTCGTGCTGACGACCAATTTGTACGGCGCCATCGTGTCGAACGTGGTGTGCGGTTTGCTGGGTGGCGCCGGTTTGCTGGCCGGTAAGAACTACGGCGACCATTACACGATCTTCGAGCCGGGCACCCGTAACACCGGCACCAGCATCGCCGGCAAGAATATCGCGAATCCGATTGCGATGCTGAACGCCGCGGTCGACATGCTGCGTCATTTGGGTCACAAGCATCACGCCGTCGTTATCCAGAACGCGATCAACAAGACCATTAATCAGGGGGTGCACACCCGCGATCTCGGTGGCACTGCGACCAGTAGGGATGTCGTCGACAATATCCTCAAGCACATAAAAATCGCGACCGCTTAAGAAGACTGAAAATTATATATTATGGCCGAAATCTCTTGTAGCAGATGTCCGTGGAAACTGGCGAGTTAGATATACTAAGAATCTTGTGTGATTTCTAGTGAGATAACATTAAAGAATACATACGATAAGCTAGTTAGGGCAAGGTAAGGATCGCTATGACAATATGCGATAACGAGATTTCGTCTATTGGCACAAAATTACGAAATATTTCTCTCAAATCAATTATTTTAGGATAATCGGGCGGTTTTCGGCTTATAGTAGATTACAAATATGCTCTGTAATATACTACACTTGTTCAATAATTCGGAATTTTGTAACATATTCGCTGTACATTGTAAGTAATAGCAGTTCCTATAGATGAATTTACCAAATATTATCACTGTGAGAGTAACTTATATGAAATGTTTAAAGTACTTGTTACACACACCTTACCATTAAAAGAATACTCACCATTTTATGTGCGTAAGACAAGTACGGTCATAGGTTTATTAAGCTGACAAATATTGTATGCCGCCTTAGTACAATTTTATCTAGTTGAATTAAAACAATGACAAAATGTAAAATACACTTTACTGTTAAGGTAAAGTTACATTGTAAAGTGTACATACTGTCGTTCATAAATAAAATGTATAAATTTACATTTCTCTAAAGATGCACTTGGTGCTAATTTTGTATTAATTGTAACGCTAATTCCTCGTCGATCTGCAGATCGGCAATATCGGATTTATGTTTCTTCTTGATCCCCTTGTGCTCTTCTTGCGTTATCAATTTTCTTTTGAAAGGCCTAAAACAAAAATGTAAAGTTCTTAATTCGAATTTACAAATTAATTTTTCGTTTATGATTTATAGATACAAATCACGTGGTTTTTACCTGTGAACTGTGCTTTCATCAGATTCTTCATCTATGGATTCGTTGACAGACGATACTTCTTCATTCTCATCTCGTTGCTTGCCATATATCTTATCTGGATCAGGTAACCATGAAAGATCTGGACCTTCACTAGCTTCACTTTCGCTATTGTAATCCTCGCCTGCATCTTCGTCCTTGTCATTTCTTTCTGCCTTTTTAGCGTGCTTCAGTTTCTTCTTTTCCTCTCTGTGTCTTTCTTTTATCTTTTTCCTGAATCTTTGTTTATCAAATTGGTCCTCTTCACGCAAGATTTGCTTGGCTATTTCGATATTAATGCCAGAGTCAACCTCATTCTCGTACTGCTGTGCTAATTCTGACATTTTCTTTTTAGCAGAATCGACTAATTCCTGAAACGCAGATATTTTTGTATTAACAAGCAAGAAAACGATTAATGTAGATGTGTTCCGACTTTTGCTAATCTGCAAATTGTATAAAATTACATAAAAACGTCTAATTAATGATATAACATAAAACGTAAGTAATTGATATAATTCTCTTACTTGTCCTTTATCATCAAACATGGTCTTCTTATTAGGTACAATTTTCTTGTTGAGAATTTTTTTAGCCAACGCGACCTTTGTAACAGATTTCTTTTTCTTCGAAATCTTGTCCTCATTGTTCGGCATTGAAATATCAATATCAATATTTTTTCTCTTTATAGTTAGTATGTCGTCATCGTCACTATCATCTGAAAAAGTCATGATTACACATAATTAAACATCTTTTTATAAGGAATCTATGGTTTAATATAAAAGTCACTCTCTCATTTTCCTACCAAACTGAAGAGCGGCAGTATTTTCCTCCTTCACTATCCTTTTTTCATTATTTTTATCGAGAATTTCACTCCTGTCAGAGTTACTGTCGCTATCTTCTTGCTCGCTATTGTCTGGTGAATTAGGTGAAACTGGATCTGTTTCTTCTTCAGTCTTAACATTATTATTATTCGACATTTTCTTCTGCATTCTTTGTAAGAACCGGATTCTCGGGGGTATGGCTAATCCTAACGATCTGTAAAAAATTCTATTATGAAAAAATATTCATTATACATGTATGATTAGTGTTCGATGATGACTGACTTCGTGTGCTTACTTGGCATATGTGTCTGTGTTCAACGCATGCACATTGAAGATCTCTTTATCCTTCATTAGAAAAACCGACTTGATATATGATACAAATGCTCTCTGAGCTGTTTCTTTCAATGCCACATCTCGCGCCAATAAAGCTTCGAGCTTACGATGTGGTGACTGCAGTTTGTTTGGATTAATCCTAAATGTAGAGATAAACGAGTAACAAATGTAAGTACACATTAGAGCAAAACTTACAAATATATTATACATATATGTACATAGAAGATCTTACTGTATCATATTTATTGGGATTTTACGTTGCTTAAGTCTCTCAACCATCGATTCTTCAGATGGTAACAAAACTAAAAGAGATTCACCACCGCTTTTAAACCTGGCAGTTCTGCCTGCTCTGTGTATGTAGGCATTGACGTCTTCCGGACAATCCATTTGAATCACCCAACTTACAGCAGGAAAGTCTACAAAATTACAGTTGTTATAGTTAATAAAATTATATAGTTTTCAACGGAACAATTAATACTTTGCTGCAGAAATTTAAATAGTGAATCATTTAACAATATTTTGTAAAGCAGGGTTGAGTTTGCAAGACAGTATTTTACCTAATCCGCGAGCGGCAATATCAGTCGCGAACAAAACGGCGTGCTGCTTCTTGCAAAATGACTCGTAGATACTCATTCTTCTCAGTTGATGAAGAGTGCCGTAAAGAGCTAACAAACTGGTTCCCGGCCGCAATCGACAGAACGCCTCATACACATATTTCACCTAAAATCGATTTTTAACAGATTACGTTGGTTCGTTAAAAATAAGTCGCTGATATAAAAAAGAAAGCATTACTTGTTTACAGCTGGAAAAGAACACGATGATTTTCTGTTTCGTATGATTTCTTATGAAAGACCACAGCATCGCCATTTTATCTTCCAAGGAACATACAATGTAACTCTGTTGCAAACTCTCCGGCGTGGTGTGCGCAGAATGCTCGTGCACAGACACGTATAACGGATCCTTAAGACTCAATCTCGCCAGATCTTTCACAGATCTAAATACAAATATGAAAATACAACCAATAATATTATAAAATTCTAATTCCGCCAGTCTTTCAGTACATACTTTGTCTGAGTCGCTGAATAGAGCAAAGTCTGCCTCTCAAGCGGAAGGTTTTCAATAATGGAATTCATGGTTTTCTCAAAACCCATATCTAAGCAACGATCCGCTTCATCCAACACCAATATCTATAATCGCACACTTTCAGTAATTCTCTCTCCTCAAAAGTATACAATTTATTCAGTTCAAAGCTGAATCAAGTCATTTAACAATCACCTGCATATTTGCACAGTTGAATAATGGATTCTCGTCCATATGCTGGAGCAAACGTCCCGGTGTGCATATAACTATATTGCACTGGTCCATGCGCTTCTTCTCGAATTTCAAATCCTTCCCGCCTATGATCAAGCCTGCCGAAATCTCGTGGTGGCGACCGACTTTCCGCAACGTCTCGTAAATCTGATACGCCAGCTCTCTCGTCGGTGTGATGATCAACGCGCCCAATGCATCCAGTCTCGTCCATTGTTTGCAAAACAAAACTTCCAGCACCTGAAATGACAATATATCAATCACTCAGACAGCCAAATCTGTCAGGACAGATTTCGTCAAATGCCCACTACAAATTTTGAAGGCAGAAGGACTGCAGATTGCATACTGAAACTGATATATACGATATGTTGCCAGCATGTCAGCAGAAATACAACAAAATCTGCTCACATAACTGTACCTGCTCGGTTTCTGCCAACAATCTGTTGACTGTGTATATTTTACAGTCTGTTGCCGAAACAAAAGCTAAATGCAATAACAAATGGTTATGGTTTTGGTGCGAGTTTCTATACCTAGACTGCTAACTCCTTAGGTAAGCTTATGTAAAACTGGGAACTAGAATGTTACATGCATGACGAAATGTCCTGCTGTAACGCATGTACAAATAGCTACATACGTGCTGGGGTACATGTGTATGCACGTGTGCATATGCAATTATCGGAACCTTTCGTGATACATGCACTACATTTGTAGGTTGGAATTAGGACCACTTGAATTTGAGGAGTTAGCAGCCTAGGTTTGTTGTTTCCGATAAATCTGCTGCAAATCTGTTAACATTTTGCTGGCTGGGCATATATCGTAGCCAGCGATACCAGATATGCACGATTCATACCGGAATTAGGAACGCCAGCGTCTTGCCGCTCCCGGTTTTCGCAGCTCCCAAGATATCGTTGCCCTGCAAAGCCAAGCCGATGCTCTGCCTCTGAATATCAGTCATTTCAATGTACTCGTTCTCCGTTAAACCCTTCAGAGTAGGTCCCGATAAAGGGAGGTCGCTGAACTTCGTTGCTTTAGTAACGTCTATCTGTAATTTCGCATTGTAATTAGTTCCGTGTTCCTCTCCATTGCTTTATTATATTATCAAGGTTATATATTTACAGCGTTGTATTTGGATCGTAGTCCTTCGATTATTTTACTCTCCGGCGTATGCTTCTTCCTCACATAAGGTTTTACTTTCCTTTTGTTAACCATAGCTATTTATTTGTCGGCGTTTCCACACTTACTGAACCACAAATATTATTTCACTCGTGTTTTAGACTTCGTCGCGACACGTGTTTTCCGCTGATCCCACGATTCCACGTGCTTCTCTTCGTTTGATACGCGTTTCAAAAGCATGAAAGTTGGCCAGAAGCTTCTTCTTCTTATTACTGGCGCGCGGCTCATTGGCCACCATTGAACTATAACCATACTGGAAGGAGCACTGCCTACCCCCTCCATAGGATCGAGCGGTCAGAGAGGGTGCGTTCTTTTAGGCATCGGATTTGGCAACCGCTGCGCATCGGATTTGCCGGCTGACGGAAATCTGCGGTGCAGTCGACTGCGCAGTCGGGCTAAAAGAATGAATTACTGCAAAAACTGCTGTATCCGATGCCTAAAAGAACGCACGGAGAGAGATAGTTGAATGGGAATGGTGATGTCTCTTTTTAACGTCAACTACCGTGGCTGAAAACATTGGTTCAGATTTGTTCTCGTATAGTGGTGACACAACCAAAAAGTGTATATCTATCAAAAATGGGAAGAGAATGTTATATAAAAAATTGTCTTAAGACACGTGATAAAGATATGAATTTATCATTACACAAGTAAGCAAATTAGAGTAAAATTGCGAAAGCAAATGTGTTCAGACTGTGTAGTATATCGAGTCACGTGATCGCTGTAGTTAGTTAGACAAGAATAGCTCCATTCCCATTCAACTATCCCTCTCGCACCGTTCTGACCGCACGACAACAATGGACTGCTCCTTCCAGTATGGTTAGTCCCAGTCTACAATAGATGATTTAAGCCCTAAGCTTTAAGAAATTGGCCAATCACGGTCAAGTATGAGTAGAATGCGCGACTGTGATTAGTCAATTTCTTAAGGCTTAGGGCTTAAATCTCTATTGTAGACTGGGACAAAGTCCCAGTCTACAATAGATGATTTAAGCCCTAAGCTTTAAGAAATTGGCCAATCACGGTCAAGTATGAGAAGAATGCGCGACTGTGATTAGTCAATTTCTTAAGGCTTAGGGCTTAAATCTCTATTGTAGACTGGGACTTATAGTTCAATGGTCTAGTTTACACCGTTAAATCGGTTGGTGCGCACATTAAGTTGGTACGGATTAAACATTTGATACATCCCTGTTTACACCATTTCGTCTCAAAACAGGTTAGGTTAGATTTTTAATCTGGATAAAGTAAAATCAAACTTCTACCACAATATGCTAAACTGAATCATACTTCTAACCTCAATCTAGCAGGAATGCCGGGTATAATACGACCCGAATCGAATCAAGCGTTTACAGCGCCCTAAAATATTTTGATACGCGCACCAACTTGGTCTGATACTAGCGATTCAGGAGTATCAGACCAGAGCGCACTAAAGTAATCCGCGAGCGTTTACATCGAGCGAATCAAGCGATTTGATACCGATATAGTACTTGGTACGCGTACCAAACGATCGGTGTAAACTAGCTCAATGTTGGCCACTGAGCCGACACTCCGACACAGCCACGACGAACCTTTAGGCTGGGTCTACATAGGATGTAGTAAGTCATGTCGGAAGAAATTGACCAATCACAGTTCATTATTCTCCTTACGGTTGAAGAATAATGAACTGTGATTGGTCAATTTCTTCCGACACGACTTACGACATTCAATGTAGACCCAGCTTTAAGCCTCCGCTACAATGGTCTAGTTTACACCGTTAAATCGGTTGGTGCGCACATCAAGTTGGTACGGACTAAACATTTGATACATCCCTGTTTACACCATTTCGTCTCAAAACAGGTTAGGTTAGATTTTTAATCTGGATAAAGTAAAATCAAACTTCTACCACAATATGCTAAACTGAACCATACTTCTAACCTCAATCTAGCAGGAATGCCGGGTATAATACGACCCGAATCGTAACCAAGCGTTTACAGCACCCTAAAATATTTTGATACGCGCACCAACTTGGTCTGATACTAGTGATTCAGGAGTATCAGACCAGAGCGCACTAAAGTAATCCGCGAGCGTTTACATCGAGCGAATCAAGCGATTTGATACCGATATAGTATTTGGTACGCGTACCAAACGATCGGTGTAAACTAGCTCACTGATTCTCGGTTCTGTCTACAATGGTCGTAGTCGTAAGAATAATCGACTGCGATTGGTCAATTCTTAGGCTGGGTCTACATAGGATGTAGTAAGTCGTGTCGGAAGAAATTGACCAATCACAGTTCATTATTCTCCTTACGGTCGAAGAATAATGAACTGTGATTGGTCAATTTCTTCCGACGCGACTTACGACATCCAATGTAGACCCAGCCTTAGGGCGACGTCCCATAGCGCGGAAATACTCAGCGGAACGGAATGCGCGGAACCAGCGCGGCCAATCAGAGCTATTCCGCTTTCTTTGCCAGCGCTTTTTCTGTTTCCCTAATGTCCCATTGAGCGGAATACGCGGAAGCGGATCACGCGGAACGATAAAAAAGATGACTTTTTTAATGTTATTTTCAACATTTATAATAAATAAAATAATATTTTACACAAATAACATAATATATGACAAAGTATTAACAATAAAATCTGTTTTTTCTGTAAAATAGGTTACTATAATTGCACCACTCAGAACTCAGCAATTCTAATAATTTACTAAATTGCAAGCAATAGCTGCGTTCGGTATTGCAAATCCGAGCCGTCAGAGTGCTCTTTTACCTCTCAAATCGTTCGGAAATGCACATCTTTTTACTCTGTGTCATCTCATCTGTGTTCGGCATTAGTAGTTTCAGAGCAAATCGAGCTCCTCGATTCGCTCTGAATTCAAAGACCGAGCTCACAGAGGAGATATTGCGCGCGAAAAGGTATGTTGGTTAAGGCCACAGTCAAGCTGCCGCTACAAATACTTCGAAGTATTCTTCTACTCCTCTCTTTCAATAAAGATAGAAGAAGAAAGAAACACTTGGAAGCATTTGTAGCGGTAGCTTGACCGCAGCTTAAGTGAGGTTAGAGCCTGTTCGATGTAGACTAGGCCTGTCTGTTCTAGGTTATTGTAAGATTTAGCGCACAACAGGATTTAACGTCTAATAATGTCTTCAAAGAATGTTGAATTATGTTATTCCAAAAATATTGGAGATGGAGGAATATTTGAGATATTGGATATTGACGGGGAAAAATATTTACATAATAAAAAAGGTAAATTCTTTGTTACTGAACTTTTGGAATACTTAAAGTTTCCTTTTCG